TTTCAGGTGGGCTCTCATCTCTTCAGTGTGCCCCTCCCACCAAGCCGGAGCCACGATGGAAAAGGCCCAGGCTCTGGTTGATGCCAGACGGGCCATACTGACTGGTGAGGTGACCAACAGATGGCTGCCTGATGGCTGTAGTTGGTGCACAGGGACATATATGGAAGGAGATGGCCCTTCAGATTTTATGGGCATTTTTAGACTGTGCAGTAAAAGTCCTTTTAAACTGCGCAAGGGGGGCTTGGGAATTTCAACCAGGGGTGGGCTGGGGGGGTTCCCGTACCCTGGAGGGTCCCTAGTGGTCAGAAGCCCTGATGGTTCAGGCCAGGCCCGTAGCTACGGTGGGACTTTTGGGGGCTCCGCACCCTTTCTTAAAAGCATAGCCCCACAAGAATTTATCCTCTAAATTATTTTTGTTGTTGTTAAAGGTGTGTGGTCCTTTAAGCAGAGTAGGGTGCTGTAGTTGACTAATTCTCGCACTGAGCAAGGGGGTTGGAGTAGGTGACCTCTAGGATCTCTTCCAACTCTGTGTCAAGGAACTGGTCACCTTTAAGAGGGTTTTTTTCCCCCTGCCTGTTAGCTTTCTTGACTAGAGAAGTCATCAACCTCCACCTGCTGACTTGTTCTCAGAACTGTTGCTTCGGCTGTCAGAAGTGATTAACTTGCAGCAGCTGAGAATGGTCATTTAAAGCGGTTGACAGCTTGCAGTTTATAGTTCTATCCTGGCTACAGCTTTCTGTTGGCCAAGTGGCTTTTCTTTCTGCACTGAGAACTTCAGCCCCACCAGGAAAAAAAAAATGCCCCACAAGCCACAAAATCCTGGCCCTGGCACTGGGCTCATATCTAGCTCCCTTACTGCAGACCAACCCTCCTGAAATTATCTTCTTTTCTGCTATTGTATTTGACTTTGAAGGACTGGAAATGATGAGAACTCTCAGCTCCTTCTTTAGAGACTACTAAATTGCAGCAGTAACAATTACGCGTAGGTTGGGGGGGGGATGCAAGTCCAGCTTTAACTATGTGTACTGTGGGGGGAAGAGTACCATCATGAAATAATGTTTTTTTTAATGGGTTAATGTTGTGAATATTTATTGCCCACAGGGTGGACATGCATAGGAAGGACTGGGAGGGTTCCCTGGATCCCTGGGGATGGGATGGGGGAAGAATGAGTGGCTCAAGACTGCATGGACTCCTCCAAGATAGGAAAGAGAGAGGAGGAATGAATGTTTCCAATTGGTATATTTACTATCAAGCGGCCGCTCTAGTGTGGATAAAGGAGTGGATAAGCCTTAAAGATACAAGACTTCTATCACTAGAGGGACATGATCTTAGGATGGGATGGCACGCTTATGTCTGGTACGGGAAAGATAAGATCCATACAAACTTTGCTAGACACACACTAAGAGGATCACTAAATAAGATTTGGACTAAATTAAAAGACATATGGTATAGAAAAACCCCAAGATGGGTGGCCCCGCTAGAAGCTTTTATGAAACCATCATTAGTAACGAGGAATCTAAAGGAAAGCTATCAAACACTATTAAGCAAAAAAAAATGAGTTAAAAACAGAAGAAAAACTAAGACAGGAAAACAACTTGTCATGGTGGGAGCAGATAACATTAAGAGACAGATATAAAAAAGACATGATAAGAGGATTTGAAGATCAAAACAATGAACTAGATAAAATATGGCTGTCCTCAAATGATAAGTTAATCCAGAAGCTATATAAGTTTCTGCTAACGGATTTTGAACAGGACGAAGAAATTAAATCTGTAATGATCACCTGGATGAGAGATATAGGAGAAATAGAGGAAGAGAAATGGGCATCTATGTGGAAGATGGCTAAAACTATGAGAGCGATAGCATATAAAGAAAATGTGTTTAAAATGTTTCATAGATGGCATTGGGCGCCCGATAAAATAGCCAAATGTTATATGGGGTACTCGAATAGATGTTGGAAGTGCAAAGTTTGTAAGGGGACCTTCTATCATATGTGGTGGGAATGTAATAAGATACAAGGGTTCTGGAGAATGGTGAAAAGAATATTTCAAGAAAGTTTGGGTATAAATGTAACACTAAAACCGGAAATATATCTGTTGAATATGATCCCGAGAGGTTATAAAAACCAAGATGCTCATATAATTAGTTATATCATAACAGCTGCCAGAATATTAATAGCTAAACACTGGAAATTAGAAAGATTACCTACAAGAAAAGATCTGATAAATAAAATACTAGAACTAGCCAGGATGGATGATCTAAGTTTAAGGTTGCAGGATAAGAATGAGAAGGTACACAAAAGGAGATGGGAAAAAATTTATAAATGGATTGAAGATCAGACAGAAATGTAATATCCCTATTGTATAGGTAGAATGATAAGGGATAATGGACTCTGATTTATATGCAAATGAAGCAGATGAAATGTTTGTTAATGTAAAGTTTTTTAAAAAAACTTTAAAATGGAAAGTACAAAAAAAAAAGACTGCATGGACTCTAGGGGAAATTGAAAGAAGGTGAGGGGCAAAAAGCCAGGAACAGCAACCCCCCTTCCCCTGGTAGTTTCCCTGGCATCACAGGCCATGCCACTCTTGAGTGGAAAAGAAACGTTTGTAATAACAGCAGCGTTCAGTTGGCAAGAAGATGGACAATGCAATCTGAAAGGTCCCCCCCCTGCCCCCGCCATCGGAAATGGATCTGATTTTTTGGTGAGAAGTCTTGGGGACAGAAGCTTTGCACTTTGTACAACTGCTGACGTTGTTTGAGTCTCTTCTGGAGCAGCTGTCTTTGGGCGGGACAGAAACAAATAAGTTGTTGCCTCAGGATGGTTTTGATCAGGGGTGATTTCCTGCCGGAGAGCGGCAGAGTGGCGCTCCGGCAGTAAGGAGCCTGTGGCACCCCCTCCCTGCCGCCGACATTCCTGGCCCACCTGTGCAGGTGGATGGGCCAGGGAAGGTTTGCAGAGCCCCCCGCCGCCTGGGGGGATATAAATGCTTTTCTTTCCCTGGGTTCCCTGCCCAATCTTCTCCAGGTGCTCCGCAGCTGTGGGCCACCTGGAGAAGATCAGGCAGGGAACCCAGGCAAGCCCTTTCCAAGGGGTGTGGCATATGCAAATGAGTTATGCAAATGAGCTCCTGCACCTCTTTTTTATGAGATGACCCCTGGTTTTGATTGATTTCTGAGTGGCCCAGATAATTAATTTTGGCTCCTTTCCCAGTGTCACTTTGGCCCAACGCTTGAATGTCTTTGCTGGTTTACTGCTGGGGGTGGGCAATGATATATCATGCCAAGAAGTGTAAATGGATAGATGGATGGACAGACAGACACTGCATAGACATACACACACAAGAGATAAGATGTAACGTTCATTGTGTGTTTATATGTTAAGTTCGGTCAAGTTGCTTCCGACTGAGGGGTACCCTATCCCTTGACAGACTCCATCCGTCCTGTGTTGGGTCTTCCTCTTTTCCTGCTGCCGTCAAATTTCCCTAGCCTTATTGTCTTTTCCAGTTACTCTTATCCTCTCCTAATGTGACCAGAGCACAATAGCCTCAGTCTAGCCATTTTTAGCTTCTGGGGAGAGTTCAAACTTGATTTGATGTACGACCCATGGGTTTGTCTTTTTGGCAACTCACGGTATCTGTCAAAGTCTCCTCCAACACCACATTTTGAGGGAATAAACTTCCTTTCAAAAACAAAATGGAACCAAACGCTGATGTACTCTCTCGTTCCTAAAAACGAGTAGCCGTAGACTGCCTGCTCAGGTTAGCCAGTCCTTCTCAGACTCTCAACAATAATTGACAGGACTTTTTAAAAATCTACATTGCCCGGGGCCAAGATGAGTGGGTGTTCGTTCTATATAGTGCAGGACTGGAATTTGTTGTCTTTGGGGTCCTATTTGTACTGTCCGTTGGACCCTTTGCATGTTTACTCAGAAGAAGACTCCCCTGCATTGAACAAGGCTTCCTCCCAAGTAAGCATGCATAGCCTTCAGGTAGGAGACAGCTTTTGATCAGTTTCAGGGGGTAGCTGTGTAGGTCTGCAGTAGAATATCTTGATTTGAGTGGGTAAGACGCTGAACTGCAGACCGGAAGGTTGGTAGTTCAGCAGTTCGAGACCCAAGTGCCACATGACAGAGTGAGCTCCCGTCTCTGGCCCCAGCTCCTGCCAAAAACCAAAAAAAAAGGGGGGGGACTCAACCCAAGATTTAACTGCGAATCAAAAAGGTTAAGCTAACACTGTATGTTATAAAAGTACAAATGTTTATTAAGGTGTAAACATGTTAAAACATATTATGATTAAAAGAAAGAATCTAAATATCAGACTTATAAAACCTTTTCCGGTACAAATACACTTGACGGGTAAACAATTTCAAATTTAAGGACCAAACGCGTTTCGGCCTCTTTGGGCCTTCCTCAGGGGTCACTGTTTTCTATATTGTACTGGCACACATCCAAATACATGTATTCCTTCTTCTTCTACTTCTTCTTCTTCCTTCTTCTATTTCTTCTTCTTCCTTCTTCTTCTTCTTCTCTCTTAAACCCAGAATTAAACCTTGTTGGTCTTAAATGTGCCCCTGGACTCAAACTTTGTTCTGTTGCTTCAGACCAACATGGCGACCCACCCAAAATCTTGTTTTTCTTTTAGATCCTACTGCACTTAAATCTAACCTTTTAGTCATCCCCCTCCCCCATGGTAAACATATATTTCAGCGATTCCATAAAACCTTTTGCCCTGCTGTTCCAAACAGTACTAGTCTCAGGCTGCTGTATAGGTATGACTTTTGGGAAGGGGTGTGTGTGTGTGTTGCTGGTGATTATGGAAAGCGCGTCCCATAAAAACTTAGCAGAGACTATTGACCGGTAAAACAATTAAGTGAGATACTGAGTCCAATTACCTAGACATTGATTTGGGCTTAATCACCTCCATTAATTTTCGCAGAAAGTGATTTTCAAAATCTGCAAATTTTCTTTTTTTGTGTCTGTGTGTCTCCCTCTTTCTAGATCGAGGAGGATACATGGCAGAAATACTACCTGGAGGGAGTCGCGAACGAAATGTATACAGAGTATCTTTCTAGTGCCTTTGTCGGCTTGTCCTTCCCTGCTGTTTGTGAGTAAGTTGATGCGGAGCAACCCTTGCACGGGCCTTCTTTCGTGCCCAAGTCAAATGGAAAACGGAAGTGACCTGTTTCTCATTCTGAAATCCAGGGCTATTTTTGGGCAGGAACGCACAGGAACGGAGTTCCGGCTGGCTCCTGAGTTGGCCACGCCCAGCAGGAACTCATTAGCATAACAGGCCACACCCAACAGCAGAAACTCATTAGGATTGGCTACATTAGGGGTGTGTGGCCTAACATGCAAAGGAGTTCCTGCTACAAAAAAAGCCCTGGGTTTTGACAACAAACAAGGCAAACAGAATAAGAAGCGAAAGGTGGGTGTGGCTGGATGACCACACTTCTGGTAACATGGGGGTGCGGCCTAATGTGCTAATGAGCTGTGCTGTCAGGGGTGTGGCTTAATATGCTAATGAGTTCCTGCTGTTGGGTGTGGCCTATTATGCTAATGAGTTCCTGCTGGGCTTTTTCTACAAAAAAAAGCTCTGCTGAAATCCAAAAGTCAGTCGGGGGGGGGGGAGGATTAAACGTCAAATGTATAGTGTTATATAACATATCTTTAAATGCAAATGCTTTCTGTATAAACGTGTTTTGAATCAGAACGTGAAGTATGCTAAAAACAGAGCTATGAAAGATTTTTCTGTTACTGTTGTTCTTGTAGCTATTGGTCAATAATAAGATTCGAGTCAGACCAAAGTTTTTTGTTCTTTTTCCTGCACCATAATAATGACTGACCCCATTGTGCAGATTTACTAATCTGTATGGGGGGCAGCCCTTTGCCGTTGTAGATCATGGTTCTATAGCAGAGTTCTTGTGTTTATACATCTTTGAATTTAGTCTCACTTTCTTCACACAACACTTCTCCACGGAGTATAAAATATCCCTTTCCATGACAGGAAGATACCTCCTCTGTGCGGAAGGGTCTCTTTGGTTCCATTGTAAATGTTTCTTTTTCAGCACACTGTTTTTCGAACAAAAAATGGGGGGAAGGATTACTTGTGTGAAGCCATCGTCTTAGATCCACTACTTGATATATTCATAGGGTTGCCAAGTGTCTTACCTGGTGCAGCGGGGGAGAGTCGGTTCCGGGCGACGTCATCACCCTGGGCACGTCAGCCTGATATGGGCACTTTGGGGGTGAGGTTCCCCCCGCCAGCCGGATCTGGACCGGCAGGTTGGGGGCCCTTGGCAAATCCCCACCCCCCCTGGGGGACTTGGCAGCCCTATATATTCACAGGGCCGAATTTTACAGAGGCCTTATGCATAGTGAAAATGAATGACTATGAAGTCACCCGCTTGGCCACTTCTCTCAGCAGGATAGTAATCCGGTGGCCAAATGCTTTCATCAGCTGTCATTCAGATCGAGGGGGCAAGAAATACGAGCAGTGTGTCATAAATCCAAAAAAGCCATGTCAGCAGTCAAAGTTACCATAGATGCAAATAGGGCATCAGGCCATGACAAGGTTAATAGAATAGGGAAAAGAAAAAAAGTCCGTGGGACGACCCAATTAAGTATGAGAGCAAAGCTCTTCGATCTAAATACATAAACAGTAAATGGCAAACAGTTTCAGTTCAGTTTCAGTTTATTAGGTTTAAAAGCCTGTAGGCCATACACCATAAAAACTAATTTAGACTTTGAAAAAGGTTTTAGACATTTAAAAATACAGCATAACAGAAATGTGCCACATCTAATTTACAATTATGGCACAAGAGTACTCAGCAAAACCTTGTAGATTCCAAAAAGGAAGAAAATTTTAATAACCATTTCCTCAGGAACTTTTCTCTCACAACTCCATGTTTTGGGCAACAGAAAAATATATATGCAAGTGAGTCTATAGCTGCTAGTGGGCAGTCGCAGTAACGTTGACTTGCCCTGAAAATGACCCTTCATCTGTGCAGATGGAACGGCATTGCAGCATGCCACCATATATGCTCTTCTCAATTTAGGAACGGATTGGGTTGCCAAGCCCCCCAGTTTGGCAGGGATCCCCTGCTTTTTGGGGGGGTTCTACCCGCTGCCAGCCAGCTGGCCGACAGGGAAGCCCCACCCCCAAGCCCCAACACCCGCAGCCACCCCCTCCCTTCTCTCTGCACTTAAAGGGAGACCAGGGCAGGGCAGGTAGGAGGCCTGTTGCCTGACCTGGCGGAGCTGGAAGAAAACCAGTCTGGCAACATTTGGGATCTGGGCGTCTGTTGATAAGGAGGCATCCAGAATCATGCCCAAGCTCTGGACAGTTGGTGCTGATTTTAAGGGCACACCGTCAAGAGCTGGGAGTTGGCACCCCAAACCTGTATCCTCACTGCCCAGGCACAGAACCTCCGTCTTAGCTGAATTCTATCTCAGCCAGCTCTGTTTTAACCATCCCACCATGGCCTCCAGCCCCTGAGCCAAAACAACGGCGGCAGTATCTGCCCAGCCACCCATCAAAAGATATAGGTGGGCGTCATCAGCATACTGATGGTAAGTAAAGGTTCCCTTGCTCGAAAGCCAGTCGAATCAGACTCTAGGGATGCGGTGCTCATCTCCATTTCAAAGCCGTCTAAAAATGTTTCCGTGGTCATGTGGCGGGCATGACTAAACACCAAGGTGCATGGAATGCTGTTACCTTCCCACCGAAGTGGTACCTATTTATCTACTTGCAATTTCTTGCTTTCGAACTGGTTGTGCAAGGTTGGCAGGAGCTTGAACTAGAGACGGGAGCTCACTCCGTCTTGCAGCACCCGGGTTTCGAACTCCTGAACTACCGACTTTCCACAGCCTGCAGCTCAGCGTCTTAACCACTTGAGCCACCGCAGCTCCGTTATACTGATGGTACCCCAGCCCCAAACTTTGCACTAGTTGTGCAAGGGGGCACATGAAGATGTTAAGCAACATCGGGGAGAGGATTGCTCCCTGAGGGAACCCACATACTAGGGGGGGGGCTAGGAGACACCCTCTCCCCCAGTGCCACCCTCTGTCCCTGACCTTGGGGAAATGGGGTAAGCCACTTCAAGACTACCCCGCGAACTCCTATGTTGTTGAGGCAGTGGGTCAAAAAATCATGATCGACCATATCGAACGCTGCTGTGAGATCAAGAATTAACATCAGCACCAACCCGCCTCAGTCCAGCTGCCTGTGGAGATCATCTGTGAGGGTGACCAGTGCGTCTCCATCCCATGGAATAGATCCAGTGCCAATGTGTCATCCAAAAAACTGTGTGAGTTTGTAGCAGTTAATAAAGGTTTGCAATGGAGATATGACATCAGATATTGGGATTCAGAAAGGCACATGGCAGGGATGTCCTTTATCATCTTTACTGTTTATTTTCGCACTCGAAACACTGAATGATACAGTTAGAGAAAATCCGCAAATACATGGCCTTAGGGTGAAAGGAGAAGAATTTAAGTTATTGGCTTATGCGGATGACATTGTTTTCACAATAGAGGATCCACTTGTCGGATGTTAATATCCAGCTGTCAGATCATAATGATCTGTCAGCAGGGAAGCTGCTGGAAACTGGTCCTGACCGGTTGAGTCCTGATTATGGAGTGAGGTCAGTGACAATGACACAGCATTAACCTGATTGGTTGCTGAAATGTATATAAGTGGACAAGTGCTGCCCTGTGTACTTCTTCTCTCTTATGGTGGTTACTGGCGAAGCATTTTGTCCAAGGATTGTACATATTGTAAATAAAATCTGTATATAGTTTACCACAGGACTGTCTTGTGTGGTGCTATACAGAGCTGGGTTTGCAGCTGAGTGCTGAAGAGTGGCTGGTGAGTTGGAATGGCTGAAACAGTCCTAGTGGCTGGCTGATACCTTCTACTGGCTCACAGGCTGTCCTACGTGCACCGCGCAACACCACTACCTACAATTGCAAACAATACAGGAATATGGAGATATGGTGGGATTAAAAATTAACCTGGAAAAAAACACACTAAAATAATAACCAAAAATTGTACACCCAATGTGATACAAGAAATACAAAAACTAACAGAAGTCGTTGAGATAGTGAAAAAAGTTAAATACTTAGGAATAATATTATCCAGTAAAAATAGTACCCTCATAGAGGATAACTACCACAAACTACCTGAAGAAATTAGAAGGGATTTACAATGTTGGAAGGATATCCAGCTATCTTTAATGGGTTTTTCTGCATGAATCTTGGCAGTAAATGGCACCTGCTTAAGTGCGAGATCGCAAATGCTTCTTGCATCATTTTGCATTATTGCTAATTGTGCCCCATTGGGCAGGAGCCACGTGAAGCAAACCCCTGGGAGCTGGGCCTCCAAGCCTTTTCCATTGTCAAAACAGCTGTGTTTCCATATGTTCCTTGGAAACGTGTTCTGCTGTGCCTCCGTTGAATCCGCAGCTACCTTCCGTATGGCACACTAGTGTAGCAAAGGTACAGTAATCCATAAAGAAGGGGCCTTTGATGAGTTTTAGGACCCACCCCACAACATTGGCACTCTCTCAAAGCATTTGATTATCTGGAAGCGTAATTATCAGCTTTTGGGTTTAAATTAAAGAGAGGCCGTAAGTCAAGCCTAACCAACATGTTAATGATAATGTTACTCCTCAGTTCAGATTAATTAAAGCTCAGCAGCAATTAGGATGTGGCAGTTGCACATTACCATGCTTGGTGCACAAATATTTCCATTGCAGTAAGGGATGTCTGTCTGTTTTCACGATAACAGAAGATATCGAAATGAGTTTTCTCTTTCATTCCTGAAAGGGAAAGGGAATCGGTCACCATATAATCAGGCCAGGTAGAACAGCAGTGATTTGCCTATAATCAACTCATTGCAGCAGTTCAAATTGCAAACCATGCTTCAAAAAGTTTTGAAGTAGCCAGTGCTGTTCAGTATTGGTTGAGAATCTTAAAAAACGTTATCTGAAACTACCAAGAAAAATCCAAAACAGATTTCTAGGGAAAGGGGGTGCGGTGCCTTCTTGGGTGAAAAATCTGAGGAAATTTAAGGGAACCTAAAATAGTCCAAACACGTTTAGTGAAAAAT